GTTATTGTACTCGATCCTTTAATTTAATTCTGGTAACGTGCATTTCCACAGTATAAGTATGTCATCCACAAATTGGACTTACTCTACGTACTTTTCATATTTTGGTAGTATGTGTAGTGTCTCATACAAATACATATACGTGTTGGCATATGAAGGAGCCATTGCCGCTCCCATCACGGTCCTGCAGGTATGTAGGTAGAAATGGTCTTTAAACTTAAAATAACTACATGTCAAGGCAATCTGTAAAAATTCCAACAAGTACTCGATGGGTGGTCCCTAATAGACCTGTGAGTTCAATAGAATGTTCCTTAAAGCATTGATCCCTTGTTCATGGGGGATTATCGTATGAAGACTCTGAACATCCAGAGTAACCAATAGTATGTTGTCATATTTGTTGAATCTCATGAGTTTAACCCTGGAGAGAAGATCTGGAGTATCTCTTAAACAAGTGAATAATTGTGTGATATTTCTTTAATATACCAGTTGATGAATTTGGCTATGAGTTCCAATAGGCCATCTCGTGCAGAAACTATCGGTCTGCCAGGTGGTTGTATGGGATCCTTACATATTTTGGGAATCTTATATAGCACTAGATGTTTAGGGTGTTCAACGTATAAGTACTTCGCTGTTTGGGAGTTGATGGCTCCTAACTGCAATCCAGTTTGAATGTGTTTATCAATTAGTTTTTCAAATTGTGACACCGGGTCATACGTCAATCTTCGGTATGTGTTGGGGTCATCCAAATGTTTAAGGAGGTCCTGTTTGTAATTATGATACATTTGAATGACCACTGTAACGGATCACCTGGCACCCCAACTGGGTCCCTCTATTGAAGGATGCTCCTAGCACTTCCTGAGGGCTCCAAGCACTCCACCAGAGACCATAACCACCGCAGACCCCATGAACCACCGCAGCTTGGTTGGGGTCTCGCTGTCTCTTACTCACCCTGAACCTACGACAAGGCTCCAGGTTTCAGTGGGTGAACCTCTTTCCACAGAGAGTGAAGCAGGAACAAGCTCTTAAAAGAGCTTAGTGATTATCCAAGGGAGTATGAAGAGCATAGCAATCCCTTGTAGCTGTTTTCCCCCAATAAGAGACAGGAGGGTGAAGTAAAACTGATTTAATGAGCACACAGGCCTTTCTTTTATACAACTTCTCCCACAAGGTTACCACCCATGTGGACCTTGTTGGGCACCGAAAATACAAATTCAACAACCAATAGCTTACAGTCACACAGTTAAACACTAGCATTCATTACTGTAAATTCTTCCCCTCTGCTTGGGAGATAATTGAGTTAATTTCTGTATCAACTCAATTATCTCCATGCGAAAAATACTTTTTACTCAGTTTTCATAACATCAAAATTATACATTCAATTTCCATAAAACGTATATTTTCCAAACGAGCATATTTATGGGAACAACATATTAAAAAAAATCATACGAATCGGTTCAGGGTTTGGGAGATAGACCGCATGCATGTTTGCAGATTTAGGCTGTGCGGCTGGTCTATCTTCTCCTTCAAATAAAGTACAAATTGCACGAACGGATCCGTTCGTGCCTACTGTCATTAGATGCATCTTGTTCGGGAGTTTGTTCTCCAGAAATAGCGCTCCGTTCGTATGGATTTAGCCGAACGCACGGAAAGTGGAAGTCTCAGCGGTGTTCATGGAAATAGTAGCCAAAAATAGTTACAGACGTTAAACGACAAAACACCACTGAGCGCATTCGGCTAAACAAAATTGCCACCGCCATGTGTTCGTTCATATGAACGCAGACAACCCAGATGTTCGCAAATTAATCTGCGGTTAACCACAGCTTCTGGGTGGTTAACAAGCCGCACACTCCACATGCAGGGTGGTCGGTCGTTCGGCAGTTTGTTCATCTGTTTGAATAGCATTATCCTGGCTGTAATAGCAGTTTAATTACCGAACACATCCACGAATACACCAGGAAAATTTTCAGATCCAAACAATTAAGGCAAAAGATGCAATCCAGAGACAGAGGCTTTTTAAAAATTTGGCCGGGGGCAGATACGCAAGATAATCAATTAATTGATTGATTCCACATCAATAACTGATATATAAGAAGGTATGAGTCCTGTTTATTATAATGCTCTGCAGGAGTTGAAACATGGTGTGGGTGTAGAAGGTGTGTGTCCTGTAAGAGTTGTCTGTGTGAGTTACTTGTGGGATTAGCCCTTAAGGAGCCCCAACATAGTTTAAAATGTAGAAACACCAAAGCATGCTTCAATGAAAACATGGATCTGTGAGATGCAAGATGAGTGGTATATCAGGTGTTCGCGCAGCGTGTGTATCCTGAGATTGTGTGGAATGCCCTTATGTGTGATAGGGATATAGTTTACATGTTTATGGTTCAAGGTAGGTTCTGCTAAATCATCCCCACAGGTAAAACAGGCATGTCTAAGCATAAAGATAAAGGATATTAGGTCGCGCCAAAAATTATTGAAGAGTATAATAAAACTAGTGTGAGAAAAATAAACTGAGAATAAAAAGAGCATAAATATAAAAAGTTAAAAAAGAGCAACACAAAAAGTACTTACATATACAATAGTGTAAAATAACATAGATAAGTCCTTGGATAAGTGTAAAATGGTAAAATCCACTTGATGAGTTGTGAAAAGGGATAATAGTTCAAACGAGGAAGTAGTCAGGAGTTTCTTGTTCCAAATAGCGATATGTAAAATAGAACAGAAGGAGATTCCAATAGTGTAATCTGTAACTTAAAATTCTTTACATTTCTTATGCATGAATTCATGGTAATAGGGTATCCCACTCACCTATTTAAGAGCTAAGATTAGCTCAGGTTTACTTCGCATTCAGTGGTATGGATCCCCCACTGATAGGATATAGGCTTGAGCACGTGGAGAAAATCCTCGGGGAAAGTGGAGAATAACACAAAATAGTGCTCACTGTATAACTAAATGAGACGTAAATAGAAAAGTATATAGGATACTCACATTTAAGTGAGCAAGAAAATACTGCTCACTAATATAGCGTGGGTGGTATAATCCCCACCTAGGATTCTTGGGCACAGATTAAAAAGTGCATAAAATAAAATAAAAACCAGGTCCAAGAATAAGATAAATAAAAAAGAGAAATAAAAAATATAGGAATATGGCAAGAAGCCAATAATCCTTTATTAATACAATATAAGATAGTACAATAAATAAAATAGCCAAAACGCGTTTCGCCACACAGGGCTTTATCAACTGGCACTTAGAAAACAGAGACCTGGGATGGAATGGTTTATATAAACTATTAGTCCATTAACAATTTCAAAATTGGCGCCAAAATGATGTCATAATTTATGCACGAAATAATTAGTAACATGTATGTGATTTAAAAATTAATATAACACTGAATGAATTTCAGAAACATATTGTTGGGCTAAAAAGCATTTCAATATGACTTTATTATAATATAAAAACATTTAAAAATAAAAATAGAAGTAAAACGAGTGATTTCCGGTTTCGAGCGATCATGTGACCGGACGCAGCCAATGGCGTCTTTGCGTCAAGCAGGCTTAGCCATAGGGGAGGATGGGAAATGTAGGCAGAAAGAGAATGTAATGGGGACGAGTAACTTCCGGGTTTCGGTGGTCACGTGACGTGGCGCAGCCAATAGCGCGCCTACGTCACGTGCAACCCCGAAAAGGAAGATGGGAGTTGTAGGAAAAAAGAGCAGTTTTAAAATAACTCATTATTAACCAGATAAAAAGTTATAGGTGGGGGCTGCTTACAAGGGAAAAGAGATACAGAGTTATTGTAAGCTAAAGAACATATGATAGTGGTAATAAAGCAACAGAACAATGTATCATATTGAAATATGAAAATTGAAATAAAAAGAAACTACTAGCAATAAAGGAAACAGATAAAAGGGAGAATAAAAATGTATATGTTAAGAAATAGAGTGGGATAAAGATGTATAGTAGAAAAATATAAATATACAAATATAATATATGCCCATTCATAATATAGGTGGGTAAAAAGGAAGCATATATTTTTTTTTTTTTTAAATCTTTATTTTTCACGTGCACAAGGTGACATAACCAGCTTGAAACGCCACAACAGCTGTGTCAAGCACATTAACAACAATCGTTTTATGTTCATACTGTGGTTTCGTATATAACCTGCACATTTTATATTTATTTATTGTTAGCCTCGAGGACATTCTCAGTCTTGTTTCGTATAGTAGGAAATAGTTAGTGTGGTGATGAAGCGAGAGCGTGTGTGCTCTTCTAGCCCCTTGTGTGTTCGTTAGTGAAGTGTCTGTGGAGAGCGTGGTTTTGTGCATGTCTAGCATGTCTGGTCTGTCTGTGGGTGGTTTGTGATAAACGCATACCTGAGAGGGTCAGGTGGCTAGTTGCCTGTTGTGTGGGTCGCTATCCCCTGTTACCAGGGGGGGGGGGAGTGGAGAGGCGTTTGTTGGCCTGGTCTCTGTGGTGGGTCTGACCTTTGTGGTAGGTCTGCCTTATATACTAAGTGCTCTGGTGTGAGATGCTGTAGATACTGTGTGTTTTGGTCTGAGGCCTGAGATTGTGTCTCTACACCGGTAATAGGAAGTAAAAAGCAAGCATAAAGAAAAAACTATATAAAAACAACAGAAAAACAACATGAAAAATAACAACAGATAGCTTGTGCACATTAACTGTTGTGCCATACTGTAGTCTGAGTTTGTAAGTGATTTGCCGTTTGCCATCACGGCCGTCGATTATAGGAGTCAGCCTTCAGCGTTCGAGTGGTCACTGCCGGGTCCTGGCTGCGGCTAGCGGAGGTTCGGGAGGATAGTGGCCACCTGTGGAGGACCTTGCTCGGGGTGGTGGGCGGTGTGCCGAATGTCCCGATTTTGGGGTCGTGTCTACCTCCGGATGTTGAGGTAAGTCTCGGGGTGAGTGTGGGTGTTATGAGGTCCGGGAGACCTCCTCAGTCGTTGGGGGTTCGAGCGGGGAAGTGGGTACCGCACTCTGGTTGGCCAGCTTGTGTGGGAAGATGGTCTAGGTCGCATTCTTTCAGCTCAGATGGTGGTGGTTGCAGCTTGTGGTTTGCCCCTTCCCTGTGGGACAAATGGGGTTATCTTGGCCAGGTCCCAGCGGTGTGCTACCCCAGGGTTCCCCGGGGCTTCCCTCTCATGCAGCTCCTCCGGTGGCAGTCCCAGTGCAGGCAGGAGTGCCTTTGCGCTCTGGAGGTCTGAGACGAGGTGGACGATGTTCTTATGTAGTACCTGTAGTGCGTGCTGTGGACGCCAGCGGTATGTAATTTGGTGCGTCCGGAGCAGCGCGGTGAAGGGTTGGAGGGTTTTACGCCATTGTAATGTTGCTCCCGACAGGTCGGTGTAAAAGGACAAGTCCATATTTTCAAATCTATAGGTGGCTGAGCCTTTTAAGGCTGCGAGGAGCGCCATTTTGTCCGCTGTGCTCCGAAATCTCACCACGAGGTCTCGGGGTGCTGCTTCTGGCGCCCTCCGGGGTTTAGGGATCCAGAAGGCCGCCTCTATGCCGTTGTACTTGACCTGTTTGGTGGGTATTAGGTTTCCCACGAGTCTCCTCGCGAAGTGTTGGAGTTCTTCTGTGGGGACTTCCTCCGCAACCCCTCGCACTTTCAGGTTATTGCGTCTCCTGGAGTCTTCTAGTGCAGCAAAGCGGTGTTCCGTTTTGGCTTGCTGTTGTTTAAGAGCACTTATCTCTTGCTTGAGCTCCGCCAGTTCGTGCGAGTGTTGTGCGGCTGTTAGTTCTGCTGCATCTATGCGGCCGACCAGGCCTGTGAGGTCTGCCCGCAGTAGTGCGACGTCTGTCTGTAGGTCCCCCAGCATGACTTTCAGCAGATATGCCGTGACCGGTTCAGAGTCACCCGGATTCTTGTTCGGTTGTGGCTGCTTGCCAGTGGGTAAGTTGTTGATGGTTTCCTCTGGGTAGAAGTCCCCTGAGGAGTCAGAGAATTCCTCGAACTCGGCAGCCATATTGAGTCCGCACGCGCCTTTTGCCTGCCGGAATAAGTCGCCTATGGTGGACCCTGTTTTGGGTCGATCTGGCTTCAGTTTTTTTGTTTTTCTTCCCATTGTTGTTGTGGGCAGCTAGATCTTTGGATCTGAGGTTAGTATCCCCTAAATCCGTTGGATTTCGTTATGTGGCCTCGGAGCCTCTCTAGTATGCGACCGCTCTGTTCCACCATCAAGCTCCGCCCCCCTCCCAAAAAAAGGAAGCATATATTAAAAAATGTAAATATAAAAAAGTGTGTAAAAGATATAAAAAGATTATGTATAGTTTATAAAAAATTAAAAAGATCAAATTCAAGATTAAGCCCCTCAGGAGAGAGGGTCTTAAGTTGAAATACCCATTCCATTTCTTTTTTACCAAGAATTTTTCTTATATCGCCCCCTCTCCAAGGGGTGTTACATTGTTCTATACCCATACATCTCAGTAATTTAGGATCTTTGTTATGTTTTATAAAATGTTTAGATACAGAATGGTTTTCATATCCTTTAGTAATGTTTTGACAATGTTCAGCTAGTCTCGTTTTCAAACATCTTTTAATCATGCCTATATATTGTAATCCACAAGGGCACTCTAAAAGATAGATAATATTTTTTGAATTGCAGCCAATAAATTTTTTTATAGGATATGTCTTGCCTGTATTAGTCGAGGAAAAGTGGGTAATTTTGGATTTAGAGGTTATAGTATTTGTGGTTTTGCACACTATGCATCTGTTGCACCTAAAGAAACCTTTTGGTTTCGTCATAAAGTTTATGTTATTTTGAGCTTGATTTTTAGTGAAATTTTTTGTGAGGGTATTTTTAAAACTACTTAAAGAATTTGATCTTTAAGAAGGTCATCTTGTTTGAGGATATGCCAGTGTTTATTTAAAATTCTCTTTATAGTTTTATTTTTATTATTAAAATCCAAAATTATAGGTAATATAGGAGGGTCTTTCTTGTCGGTGTTTTTGTATTCTAATAAGGTGTTTCTGTCTTTCGTTTTTACTATATCTAAGGTGGTGTCTAGTTTTTCTTTTGAGTAGTTTTTTTCAATAAATTTATTTTTTAATGAGGTAGATTGGATCGTAAAATCACTAGACTGAGAACAGTTGCGATAAAGATGAAGGAATTGGCTTTTAGGAATGCCCTCCAACCAAGGTCTATGATGGCAACTTGATTGATCAATTATAGTGTAAGTGCACACTTGTTTAAAAAAAGATTTAGTGTGGACAGACCCATTTTGGATAAAAATATTAAGATCTAAGAAATTAATAGATGATTTACTGAATTCAGAAGTGAGGATAATACCTTTATTGTTATTATTCAAATGAGTTAGGAAAGTTTTAAGATTGGATTCAGAACCGTGCCATATAAAAAAATATATCGTCTATGTAGCGGAAATAGGAAACCAGGTTCGCCCTCCAGTCATGGTTCCCCCAGAAAGCCGAGGATTCCCATTCGGCCATGAATAGGTTCGCATAGCTGGGGGCGACCCTGGTTCCCATCGCTGTGCCTTTTTTTTGGATAAAAAAAGAATCTAAAAACCAAAAATAATTATACGTTAAAATCATTTTTAACCCTTCTATAATAAAACTGATCTGGCTTTCAGGAATTAAATTTTCAGTTTTTAAAATATTCTCTACAGCTTCGCACCCTAAATCGTGAGGAATAATCGTATATAATGATTGAACATCACATGTAACCAGAAAGTAGTCATGACTCCAAGTGAAATCTTTTAAAATTCTCAAAAGGGACATAGAGTCTTTGAGATATGAATTCATGCGTTTCACAGAAGGTTGGAGTAGGATGTCCAAATATTCTGAAAGATTGGCTAGGACTGAGTCAATGCCAGAGACTATAGGTCTACCAGGAGGAGTGGTCTCATTCTTATGTATTTTGGGTAAAAAATACAGCACTGGAATTTTGGGATAAGGGGTATTTAAATAATCAAATTCTTGCTTATTTAGGATCCCTAGATTAAATCCTTTTATAAGATAGTCCGATAAAATATTTTTAATTTTTGAAGTCGGATTATAGGAAAGTTTCTCATACACTTCTATATCTTCAAGTTGACGGTTCGCTTCTTTGATATACATATCCTTAGATAGGATGACTAGGCCTCCGCCTTTATCGGCGGGTTTTATAACAATGTTATCATCTTTTTGCAATTCTTTCAAGGCTTTAAATTCGTTTCGAGTGAGATTCTGATGATCATATTTAGTGTGTTTTATATTATCTAAATCTTTGAGAACAAGTTTTTCAAAAACTTCTATTTGTCCAGATTTAAAATTAGAGGGATAAAATTTAGATGGAGTTTTTAGATGTGTGTGTGTAATGGAAGTACTTGAATTGCTATTTAAAATGGGGAGAGATGGTTCTGATTCAGGGTTTGGGAAGGAAATCTTTTGCTGAGTGTAGAATCTTTTAATAGTCGCTTTCCTAACAAACTTATTAATGTCTAAAAATGCTTGAAAAGGCTTAAAAGAATTTGTAGGGGCAAATTTGAGACCTTTACTTAAAACTGAAATCTGTGCAGCGGTTAAAACTTTTTGTTACAAGTTAAAAATGCCCAATTCTTTTTCATCTATATTAGTATTTATCTTTCTATTCTTTCCCTTTTGTAGTCTTCTGCCACTTCTCCTTCCTCTATACTCAGACTTCTTTTGCGTCTTTTTGGTAGATATGGAGTTGGTATATGAGAGAGGTTTTGGGTGCGGAAGTCTAAAAAATTGTCCTCATTTTCAAATTCTGAGTCATCTTTTTATTTCTTTTTTTTTTCTTTTTATTTCAATTTTCATATTTCAATATGATACATTGTTCTGTTGCTTTATTACCACTATCATTTCTTCTTTATCTTACAATAACTCTGTATCTCTTTTCCCTTGTAAGCAGCCCCCACCTATAACTTTTTATCTGGTTAATAATCAGTTATTTTAAAACTGCTCTTTTTTCCTACAACTCCCATCTTCCTTTTCGGGGTTGCACCAACAAAAAATCATCCAAATAATGGATAACGGACGGATACCTAACTATGTTTAGGAGCAGCCAACAGAGGGTCTCTGCGAAAATGTCAAACAGCTTGGGGCTGCTCCTTGACCCGAAAGTGAGCCAAGTAGAAAAATAATACCTGTCCCACCATTTAACACTGTGCAAGTGCCATAGTGAGGGGTGAATGGGTAGGAACTTGAATGCATTGGTAATATCTGTCTTGCTCAACCATGTCTTGCTGCCTGCAGGGCCGGTGCAAGAATTTTTGCCGCCCTAGGCAAAAGAAAGATTTGCTGCCCCCCCACCTCCCGGGACATCGCAATGCCCCACCCATATGATCTGCCATATGAACTAATGCCAGTGCTGCACACAGTGTGTGTTTACATTAAAAAGCCTGCAGGGACAAACTATAGACACCAGAACAACTTTATTAAGCTGCAGTGGTTCTGGGGACTATAGTGTCCATTTAATGTGAGGTAAATTAGAGAATAGTGTCACTAATAATATACTAGATTGCCTACTTACAATCAGATGAGGATGGTGATGGGCTCTGGCTGCAGTCTGGCTCCACTGGTCTGGTGTAGAACAGGATCTCTGGAGGATGTTTGTAACTGTGGTCACAAAATTCAATGTTCTGGGAGAACGGGAAGCAGCTCCATTTTTTGGGGCCTCTTACATAGCTCAAGTTCTGGGCCCCAGGGCCTGACGGTGAGTATGCCCATAAAGCCCACCCATAAGTCCACCAACATGTTCCACCCATGAGTTCGCTCACAGGGAGTGGAGTGTGTAGGAGATGTGTTATGTGTTACTGTAGAGGATCTAATGTGTGTGCTTATGGAATGTAGTGTATAGGGATACCAGTTTGTGTAGGTGATGCAGTGTGTTTGTGTGTAGTGGAAGCAGTGTGTTTTTGTGTAAGGGATAGAAAGCAGTGAGTGTTTGTGTATAAGGGATGTATTGTGTGTTTCTTGTTGTGTATAAGGGATGCATTGTGTGAATCTGTGTTTGTATGCATAAGGGATGCAAAGTGTGTTTCTGTGTATGTAAGGGATGCAGTGTGTTTCTGTGTATATAAGAGATGCATTGTGTTTCTGTGTGTGTGTAAGAGAAGCAGTGTGTGTTTGCATGTGTGTGTAAGGGATGCATTGTGTGTTTCTGTGTATATGTGCAAAGGATGCATTGTCTTTATGTGTAAGGATTGCATTGTGTGTTTCTCTGTGTGTAAGGGAAGCATGTTGTGTTTCTGTGTGTATAGGGATGCATTGTGTGTGTGTGTGTGTGCGTGCGTGGTATGAAAGAGTTCCCTGTCCTGCCCCCTGTCCTAAAGAGCTCTCCCTTCCATTCCTTAGAGATCTCCCCTGCCCC